CCGTCGTCGTCGTCGTCGTACGTCGATGTGTGTGTGTGTGTGTGTGTGTGTGTGTGTGTGTGTGTGTGTGTGTGTGTCCTAATCGTGTTTAGATCCAACAGTCTGTCCACACTATTATGCATTCTGTCAATATATTGATATTTCCACTGAGGCGCCACGTACCATCTGCAGTGCCATCAGCCTGCAGGCTTTTTTTAAACTACACAACCACAAAACTGTCCGTAAAACCAGTCAGTTTGGGAGAAAATCTTCCCCAAAATGGATTTACTTGCCAAATATGTCACAAACAAGAGGAAGGGCTACACATTGAAACCTTTCTGCAGCCGATCAGTCCATGTTTCTCTTTGCTTCCACATTGAAATGCTGATTTCCTTCCCCTCGGACACCTGCTCAGAGCCTAACAGGCAGATGACAAGGACGCCTCTCGGGGCTTTTAGGGGCCTCGTGCCGTGTCACCCTGACCCTTGTTCCCCCCTGGGGAGCCCCCCACTCGTTTCACTACATTAAGCCCAGTTGAAAAGTCTTCATGCTGCCTTGTTAAACATTCGATCAGAGGCCAGACGGTCGCCTTCTCCATCCAGCTGCTCTCAAGATACTGTTTATATTTGCATCTGTCCTCATATCTATTGTTAGGGAAATACATGGGTCTACAGAGGAGGGAGAAGTACTCAGATCTTATACTTGAGTAAAAGTAGAAGTACTCAGATCTTATACTTGAGTAAAAGTAGAAGTACGCAGATCTTATACTTGAGTAAAAGTAGAAGTACTCAGATCTTGTACTTGAGTAAAAGTAGAAGTACTCAGATCTTGTACTTGAGTAAAAGTAGAAGTACTCAGATCTTGTTCTTGAGTAAAAGTAGAAGTACTCAGATCTTGTTCTTGAGTAAAAGTAGAAGTACTTAGATCATGTTTTTCAGTAAAAGTAGAAGTACTCAGATCTTGTACTTGAGTAAAAGTAGAAGTACTTAGATCATGTTTTTCAGTAAAAGTAGAAGTACTCAGATCTTGTACCTGAGTAAAAGTAGAAGTACTCAGATCTTGTACTTGAGTAAAAGTAGAAGTACTCAGATCTTGTTCTTGAGTAAAAGTAGAAGTACTCAGATCTTGTACTTGAGTAAAAGTAGAAGTACTCAGATCTTGTACTTGAGTAAAAGTAGAAGTACTCAGATCTTGTACTTGAGTAAAAGTAGAAGTACTCAGATCTTGTACTTGAGTAAAAGTAGAAGTACTCAGATCTTGTACTTGAGTAAAAGTAGAAGTACTCAGATCTTGTACTTGAGTAAAAGTAGAAGTACTCAGATCTTGTACTTGAGTAAAAGTAGAAGTACTCAGATCTTGTACTTGAGTAAAAGTAGAAGTACTCAGATCTTATACTTGAGTAAAAGTAGAAGTACTCAGATCTTGTTCTTGAGTAAAAGTAGAAGTACTCAGATCTTGTACTTGAGTAAAAGTAGAAGTACTCAGATCTTGTTCTTGAGTAAAAGTAGAAGTCAGGTCTTGTACTTGAGTTGAAGTAGAAGTACTCAGGTCTTGTACTTGAGTAAAAGTAGAAGTACCAGAGTGTAGGAATACTCTGTTTCAGTAAAAGTCCTGCATTCAAATTGTTCCTCAAGTAAAAGTAGAAAAGCATTAACATCAAAATATAGTTAGTAGTAGTACTTGAGTAAATGTACTTACTTTACACCTCTGTTAGCCTACAGATTCAAAAATGTCGTACATAGTGTTGGTCTTTATTGGAATTTATAAAAATACCAAACAAATCTGTTGTTTTCCGTAATGATCAAACAAAAAACTCCAAATCTTTTGACAGTCAGCTTGTTATCATAATATTAGTTTTACCAGATGAGGGATTAGCGGAGATGCATTCTCTGCTGGATCTCTGATGACCCGTCTCCTGTAATCACTGACGTCAGAATCAATACGACTGATCCCATGTGAACTTATATATCTGACGTCTGCAGTGATGATGCTAATGAGAGACACACATCGATAAGATACTGATCTGAGAACAGCTGATGAGAGGGTCAATACTCCGGGAGCCTGGGGAGCTTTTCAAACCGCAGACAAACGTGACAACTCCTAAAAAAAAGGATGTCATGGCGCCTCATTTCAGTTACACAAGATATACATATAGAGAAAAGAGAGTGGAGACTGTATTGTACGAGGTAGAACGACCACCATCAGGGCTGAGCGTGATAATCAGAGATATTTGCCGATTCAGCAAACACACACAAACTGAAGTCCTACTCATTTCCAGATTAGATTAGTGTTTTGTCTTAATTTGCATACTGCTGTGCTTACGTTAGCTATTTTGAGTGCATACTGTAGATGTGTCCCACTGTGAACTATGGTAAAATGCACTATGAGTACCTGGACGTGCTTTAATAACGGTCAAAAAGTTGAAATCCGGACACTTCTTACACTCAACAGCCGCCATCTTGGCTACGTAGCTAAAGTGGCGGGAACATTAGCGGTTGCTACGCTAAACACAGCAGTACACAAATAAAAGTTAAGTGGTTTTTCTTTTCACTATTCAATAAACGTACACGATACTGGTGTCGAAAAGACGCCACTGTTTTTTTTATTGGGCTAAGTGAGGTGTCTGTAATGATTTTTCTACCGCTAACGTAGCTAACTAGCTAGCTAGCAGCGGCAAATGTCACTTCCTGTGAGGGAACAGCAGCTGTGTGAGATTTGAGGCCACATGACATGGTCAAAATTCACACACTGTGCAAGTGTTTTTGTACTAATGGAAGTATCAAAACTGAGACATAGTACAAGTCATGTGACCCGGGTCTGCACCTCTGCTGGATTATACAAATACACTCAGTAAACATGAATGGAAAACAATATATAATGAGGGAGTCACGGGGCAGAGTGGAGATAATTGTTTACATTATCTCAACATTCCTCTTTACTGCAGACTGTCACCAGGCAACCGGGGGTCAAAGGTCTCCAAAAGATCCCAGACATTTCTCATGGGGGGGGGGAGAGTGTTTGATTATTGAAATGACAAAGATTCACACACCCTCTCACTGCAGTACAACCTGTGTGTGTGTGTGTGTGTGTGTCTCACCTTGTGTTTGTTTGGTTTGATGCACCTGATGAAGTACGGGTTGGAGGTGCTCAGTGTGGCCATC